ATGGAGGAGGGCATTCTCTCTAACAACAGCGACACAGTCTAGCAGGTGTTTATAGAAAGAAGCCAAGCTACTGGTGCTCCCCACACCCCCCCCCCGCGGGGTTGGTTTTTTGAGACAGGGTTTCTCTGTAGCTTGGAGCCCATCCTGGAACTGGCTTTGTAGACCAGGCTGGCCTTGAACTCACAGAGATCTGCCTGCTTCTGCCTCCCAAGTGCTGGGATTAAAGGCATGCGCCACTACCACATGGCTGCTACTGGTACTTTTGAGGACAGTCCATTTGGAATAATTTTCATAAATAAAAAATTTAAAAACCAAACATCATTATACAGATAAGCTAAGTAAGTGCTTTTTGACAATTTATTGAAGTTGAAATCTCTTTCCAAAAGACAGCTCTGATAGCCACCGTCCCTGATAGTGAAACCCTGCCATGCTGGCTTTCCTCGGGAGAGGTGGGGAGGACCCATTAGCTACGGAATGTCCAGGCGATGAGCTGACACCCACATGAGTGTCGGCCTCATTTCGGTGACACATGTATAATGCATACATATTGGACCATGGCTCTTGTTAGAAAAAGGCGACTGAACTTCCTAAATTTGAAGTATTTGATGCTAACAGAATAAAGGGAGTTCTATTTTCAGAACTTCTGTAGAGAAGTAGATGCAGTAAGGTGTATTTTATGAATGGCCATGTTTAAACCTTGAGAAGCAGTTTGCTTGACCTGAATGAGTTAGTACAGTAAGTCCCAGTACTTGATGCTGGTGTAGTCTGCTAATCCAGGAAAGGGAGACTGGACCACAGGCAGCCTGCAGGTGAGGATTCGTGAGCACCAGGCGGATGACAGGCTAAGCTGGTACCACGGGAGGGCAGATGAACTTGGGGTGCGCACAAACAGCGCCATCCGTGATTGTCACATCCGGCGTGGTGCCGCTGCCTTCTTCCTACTTGTTTCTACATGTTCAGGAGAATAGAAGGCATCTGGTATCCATGGCAACGGACAATAAAATAAGCACTGCTGCACAGGGGCACGGTAGGATCTTTAGATTGCTTGGGCTGCAAGTCTCCCCAAGAAAAGGTTACAGTAGCCATTTCCGGACCAAGTGTGAGCATCAGCCCCAGAACTGACCGGGGCAGAGCTGAACAGTCACATCCCTCAGCGAGCAAAGCACAAGGTTTAACACCGTCATTATTTTGTTCAAAATTCAGTGGTTTGTGCAGATAGCTTGGTTGTATTTACATGTAAATGCACATATATGTGCATCAGGATTTGGAATTTCAGCTCAAGGCCCTCTTACCTTGATGGTCTGTATGGCCCCAGATCCCCTGACATCTCGAAGGCTGTCTATGGCTTGCTGGGGTGATACTGAGTCAGACAAGTATAGGAGGAGACAAGCAGCTACTGAGAACATGACAGAAAAATAATGGGTTATTAAAAACTGGTTTGCTTTTGTTGTAAAGAGACTAGACAATCAATTAGGCTTCTATGGCCACAGCAAACTCTGTTCAGTGTGATTGCTAAAAGTCAGACCCTATAGTCCGTGCTTTTGAGGCTTACGTGATTCGTACTAGTGGTTTTGTTGCTACAAACATTGGCTTACACGTTTCTGTGTGAACGTGTAAACGTGGGCTCCATTTCTCTTGTGTACAGAGCTAGGAGTAGAGTTTTGGGTCAGGGTAACTCTGTTTCCATGGCTGAGAAACAGACTAATTTTAAAGAGCAGTTGCGGTTTTACATCCCAAGCAGTAGTGCTGAGCTCCCGTTTCTTGGAGTGTGTGCTGATTCTTACCATTTTAACATCGCCACCATAGCTAGGTGGCGTTACTGGGCACCGTTGTTGTGTGCTTTTTGGCCGTGTGTATTCTGGGGAGATGTTTACTCAGGTCCTTTGCTCACTCTTTAGTTGCCATGTTGGTCTATCTATATGGGTACGTTACATATTATCTAGATGTATTTCCTGACCACGTACATGCTGTGTGAGCCCCCCGCCCCATTCTATGTACAATCTTCTCATTCTGGCAGTGGCCTCTCATATGTTGTTCACTTGGATCCCGTTTATCCTGTTTTACAATAAAATTCTTTTGGCAGCACACTTTAAAATTAATACACAGAGGCTGGAGAGATGGCTCAGTGTTAAAGAGCACTCAATGCTCTTCCAGAGATCCTGAGTTCAATTTCCAGAGACCACATGGTGGCTCAGAACCATCTAGTGGGATCTGATGCCCTCTTCTGGCATAAAGGCAGACATGCAGAGAGAGCGCTCATATGCATTAAAAAGAAAATCAATTAAAAAATTAATAGTAAGTAACTATACTACATTGTTGTTTCCTATTTGGGGTTTTTGAGTCAGGGTCTCACTGTAGACCTACTTGACCTTGAACTCACCACAGAGCCAAGGATGACCTTGAACTCCTGTTCCTCCTGCTGTGCTGGGAGTTTTATACTGAGGCACCGGATATTCTTTAGCATTTTCTGTCAGTGTCCTAACACTTCATGGGAAGAACATTAGGAAACCCAGACACAGTGCTAAGACTTGCAAGTGATCCTCCTAGGCCAGGCCCAGAACAGCTGGCACACCCACCCACGCTTTCCAGGAAAAACCAAGTTTAAGGCTTTACTCAATCCCTGAGTCTTGGTAAGCTTACATTGTGCTTTCTTTCCTGAACTATAAAGTGAGACAAGGTCTCCCGAAGGAGTTTATCTTTTTTGAAGTTGAAGAGTTAGTGAAAATCTATTTCTTACCAAGACAGGATCTTCCAAGTCCTCCATAGCAGCTGAAAGGGAAAGAGAGTTTTGAGGTGCGTCCATTTTCGTTCTATCCCAGTACAGCTCAGACTTCATCTCCTCTGCCCGTGTTACCTCTCCAGGACACAGCACAGCACCCGGCACAGCACCGTACACAGAGCAGTTAACCACCCCAGAGCTGTGTGCTCATTCATAAGGGGAGGGACTCTGACTGCTGAACCCCAAGACCTATGGCTGAGAAACGGAGCACTAAAGAACTAGGAATCAAGGCTATCAGTCTTTTAGGTAAAATGTGAGTGCTTCTGGACCAACTGCCAACCACACAATGAATGATGTCATCTGTCTCAAGCACAGAGTGTTAGGGAGGGGCTGGAATCCTGAAGCTGGCCAAGGTCTTCTTTGGCTTGCTTTTTTACCATTTACCTGTGAACCAGCGTTAATAATAGAGGGTTGCCTGAGGCAGTGTTTATCATGGCTTAGAACACAGGCTGGCGAGGAAGAGACCAGTGAACGCTAGTGCACATGACCTAGCACTGTGAAGATGGCAACAGTTCTGCAAAACAGCCATCAAAGCTGGACAGTCGTTTTCAAAGACTCTAAAAAAGTATATTGTAGGGAAATAAGCAAAAGCCCAGTCATTGGATGCTTTTATGAGCCTGAAGCATTCTCCCAATGCAGAAACACCCATCCACTTATCTACATCGATCTCCACAAAACAGAGGTTGCTGTGAAATTTTTGAAAAAACAAACAAACAAACAAACAAACAAAAAAAACCTTTGAAACTGTTTGGAAAATGGACCTAAAAGTTGTATTTTTTGTTGCTACACCTGATGCTAATTTGCATATGCCTACAAAGAAATACACAGTTGTGTATTCTGAAATTTTGCCTTTGCATTACTTTGAGATGGGCCTGCTGTTTTATAGGAGATTCCACCATGCCCACTTTTGACTCGGGTGCTGGGGATCAAACTCAGGCCCTCACACTTGTGGCAAGTATGTTATTCACTGGGCTGCCTCCTCAGCCCTCGGAAGTCAGATTTTAAAAGACTGCTTTCTGTAGGGATTTTTTTTTTCTCTGAATTTTGAAAGATAAGCAACTTTACTGCTATGAAAACAGCTGATGAGCCGAGACAACAAGAGATGTGACAGAGCAAGAACAATGCCACATATTCTGGTGGCGATGAAAGGGACATTGCTTCTCCTCTTCCTCTGTAGGCGCTCAGATGCACTCCCTGCCATTCCTCCTGAAGGGCAGCGGCAGGAAGTGTCTGACTGCTTCCTCTGCACAGGCCCTGAGCTAGCACTTTCCACACAGCAGCTCTCTAGTCCTGACAGGAGGGAGGTCGCGGGCAGTGAGGAAGCACTGTGACTGGCGTACTGCTCGTGCGCTGACCAGGGAAAGAACGTACTGTATCAGGGTTTTCCGGTGGTTTTTAAGGCAGGTGGCCAGCTCCTCCATGATTTCCCAGCAGCTGCCTATGTCAGGAGTCCCTCCATCTGGAATTGGGTGGTGATGGGTGACAATTCCAGACTGTTGGTAGAGGTCCAGAAGGTTTGGGACTCTATATTTTGACAGCTCCCCTCTGGTGCAGAAAACAAATACATCTTGGATCCCGTAGCTCTTTAGTTCCTCTGCCAAGACCAAGACACACACAGATGCACACATAAAAGAGGACATGTTTAAACAGTCAAGAGAGTATATATAGAGTTACATTCTTCCACAAAAATAGTAACAGCTGAGAATTTGTAAATCTGATATATCTGATGAAAATACCTGAACCAAAAGCTGATGAGAATTAAAGCAGATTGATTTATAAGTAAAATGCTTTTGAATGAATTTCAAGATAGGCTGATGGTATTGCTATAACACAAAATATAGGTTTTCCTTGCAATAAATACTGCCTTTAATAGTTAATATTTAAACTCCTGAGAAGGAATGATAGCACTATTTTTAAGTTGTCCTTTTTCCATGAATTAGCCATGTGCGTTCTCACCCTTCCTTTCTCAGGCAGGTGTTATAAATCATCTCCAGCTGACGTCCTGTGTTCTTCCGCTGTACTGCACTGAACCAAACCAACATGAATTTACTTTTATAGACCCGGTCTTGAGAAAATAAGGCATTAACTGCACTAACCTTAATGATTTAGAGCTTTTCATTTTAATAGTTAGAACCAAGAAATATTTCTCTAGGATTTTATACTGGAACTTAAAAAAATTTTTTCTTTTTAAACTATGTGCATATATGTGTGTCTGTGTCAGGGTATGTGCACATGTGTGCAGGTGCTTGTGGAGGCCAGAAGAGGGCAATAGATCTCCAGGAGCTGGAGCTACAGGTATTAAAAACCACTCCATGTGTGTTCTGGGAACTGAACCCTGGTCCCCTGCAAGAGCAGCACCCACTCTTAACCACTGAGCTGTTCCCCAGCTTCTGGACCTTCTTTATGGCAATATTCATTCTGAATTATTTAGTTAAAAACAAATAATTCTGCACTCCAACCTGTGGACATTTATCTAAGCACAAAGTCTTTGCAGTTGAAGTGTAAAACATATATCTTACTTTAAAGACAAAGAGAATAAAGATAGAAATGATCTTACTAATAATATGCTTGATTGCATATTTCCTCTTGTGTGGAGATACTGTATATGATATTCCTAGTATGTATGTATATATACACATACACTCACACATGCACACATATGAAAGAACAGAGATTATATGAAGAAGAATCTAAAGGGAGAAGATGGAAAGAGAAGAATGTGGAAAGAAGAAAAAGATTACATGTTTTGTCTCATATGTGCGACTTATATTTTAAAGATACATATATTTAATCAGACATGAAATCAGAGGGAACTATGTGGGGGGAGGAAGGTAAGATGCTGGGGTGAAATGAACATGAGCAAATATAATAATGTTGTAATAAATCCCATTATTTTGTTCACTAAAAATAATATAAAAAGGATAGTTTGCTTTCTACTTAAAGGCTTAAATGATAATACTTAGAATATATTAAATTATTAAAATATTAATTTCTTTGTCTTGTTTTTGTTTTTAGAGACAGGATTTCTCTGTAATGGCTCTGGCTGTCCTGGAACTCACTCTGTAAACCAGGCTGGCCTCTGCCTCCTGAGTGCCAGGGTTAAGGTGTGTGCCACCATGCCTGGTAGTTATGTCTTAGCTTTTGAATGTGGCAACTAGAAAGTGTCATTCCGTACACAGCTTCCATGTGTGGCTGTGACTGCATTCCGTTGTGTTTGCTCTCTAAGTCAGGTCTTTTGGTATAATCTACGGGGGCTGAAATCGGATGTCCTCCAGCGCACTTCCTCAACGCTGGGATTACAGACTTGCACCATCACGTCCCGCTTAGATAGTCTCACCTTGATAAAACTATCATAGTGTTACAATCGCAAAATAATTTTAACATATTTAATAAAACTTTTGAAAGAGGGGATAATCTTCTATTTGTCTTCCATACACACTTGACAGATTCTGAAATATGGTGGTTTTCAGATTTTCCCAGGGAGGATACACCGCAGGAAGTTCTAGGTCTCCCACCAAGTGTTTGATCTGTTCTATATAATAAATCCTATCAATGATTTCATTGTTAAAAAAAATAGAGTTAATGAAAAACCTAGACTCTTCCTATTATAAAAGCCACTAAACAAATAGGAAACTCCAAAATGTGTAAGGTTAGTTTTTGAACCAGTGATTTAAATAGTATTTGCTATGTCCTCCAAATGGAACATGCAAGTTATTTCCCACCATTGTATGTATACCTAAAGCAGAACATGCTTATAAGCACCACAAAGGCCAATCCAAGCATTAGACTCTTCATCCCTTTTGATTTTGGGACAGGGTCTCACTGTGTCACCCTGGCTGGCGTGGAGAACACACAGAGATCTGCCTGCCTCTGCGCTGGGGTTAAAGGATTGCACCACCATGCCTTTCTTCTCATCTTTTTGATAGGTAAGAAATAAAGCACATTAACCAACTACCAGAACATGCACCTACCAAAACAAGTAGGACAAAGTATGATGAGTTTAAAAATTCTGTACCAGTCAGACTCAGACCGAGTGTAGATACTGATTTTCTGTGTGAGGAGGCTCTTAGTGTTTAAGTAGGTTACAATATTCCGGCCCAATCAGAATAAAATATGAAATGTCCCATTTGTCACTGTCATATAATATGCAGGAAGACTGCTGGGATTATCACTAGGGAGTGGAGACTGCGGCGGCATGAGCATCCTTGAGCAAAGAAAATGGCTCCCGCTGCCTGGCCCACCAGCATGCTGGCTTTATTCTGACCAAGGGTGGACAACTTGACTGCTACCCTGGGGCTCCCAGCTCAGGCTAAATTTGTGCTACCACAGTCAGGTCTGCAAGGAACAGTGTGTTCAAAGACATGGGCACCGCAGTATGCCAGTTTTCTGTTTATAAACTTTTCTCCCTTGAACGGACACATTCGAACACCGGACACAGTTTCTATGTGTGAGCAGAACTGTGACAAGCAAAGTTATGTCCAGATAAATGATGATCTCTGGGCCCATCAGGTACTGCTTCACATGTAAGGGGTTCACAATTAGAAATGTCATAAAATTGATTTTATATATTGAGAAGAGAACAGCTTGACAGATTTTCATACTTAAAACAAACAAACAAGCTAGTAGTAGGCTTTTCTCATAGTGACCTACCTGTATCTTTGTGAATGTTTCTTCTAACATCTTTAAATTTACAACCTATAGATAAGGCAAGGAAAAAAATTATTTTAGGGTTGTATAATAAGGCATATTTGAACACACACAAGCTACTGTAGACAATCATTTCACATGGCTATTCATTTCAATTCCATCCTAAATGTACATATTAATTTCTTAGAATCTTAGAAACAGCCGCAGAAAATCTACTGACGGGGATCCCAGTGCTGGAGCTCCTGGCTGTGCGCTTTAAGTCTCATTGAACTAGGCTGGTCAGAAACGTAGCCCTGGGCCTGGAAGGTGCTCCTGAAGGCTTCCAGAAGACAAACTGCCCAGCACTCTGAGATCAATCTGTCTGCTCACAAAAGTCTGCCCTAATATTAGTAGGAAGCCAACCGAGTGTTTTCACCTACCTGGAAGAGCACATAAACCGAGAAACTGTGAGCAATTCACTCGTGACAGAGGTAGCCTGTGAAGAAAAATTTCCCAAGCTTAGTTTTTTAAAAGCTAGAAATAGAGCTGTATGGTGGTGGCACGCACCTTTAATCCCAGCTCAGGAGGCAGAGGCAGGCGGATCTCTGAGTTCAAGGTCAGCCTGGTCTATACAGTGAGTTTCAAAGCTACACTTAGAGAAACCCTGTCTTGAAAACAAAAAACAAAAAAAGGCTAAAAATGGAAATTTAGCCTACTCAACAGGAGCATCTGCCACAGAGTGAGGGTGTTTTAGCGTTTTTCAGAGGCTGCAAAATACCAGTTAATCAGATAGGGAAGACCAAAGGCCTAGAATGACTGGAAGTTTGGAAAGGGGGACTTTAATACCACATAGATCTTCAGAAAAAAGCTAATTTAAGTTTACCACAAGATCCCCTATAGGTAGAGCCAGTAACCTGTGGTATGCATCCCAAATGCTTGGAATCACATGTTTTTCAGAGCTCGGAGTTTAGTGATTCTAGAATGATTGCAAAGGCTTGACCAACTGAGCATCCCAACCCGAAGATCTAAAATTCAGATGCTCAGAATAAAAAATCTTTTCAAGTGCCAGCGTGAGTCTCAAAAAGTTGTAGGTTTGGGCTATTTAAGATTTCAGATCAGAGATGCCCAGTCAGTAGAAACCTTAGTTGAGTGAACTGGAAAATTCCATTTTAATATTAATTTTGCAAGGTTAAGCTTTTTTGGTTAAATTGTCGTACAGATATAATTGTATACCCAGGGACAGAGGTCCTGTCTGTAAGTCAGGAGATAAGTTTGAAGAAAAGCCAGAGGCATCACAGAGGTAACAGCTGGGACAGAAAACTGGGTGCGGTTTTGAGTTTAAAAAGGAGCGTGGTAGGTAACGTTTATTTGATGACAGAGTAAAGGACCTTTGGCGACAACTCTTAGTGCTCAGCATGTTCTTGAGAGATCAGAACTTCTACTCCAGTGCTGGGCCTTGGACGCAGGGGTTGACAGCCATGTGCTCTGTCACTAAGCCAAGTCCCAGTGAGGCTGCTGGCTTTATGGGGATGAGAGAAACCATTTGGTTGCTGGATTTACAGACCCTGTCACAACCAAACTCTCATGCCAAGACTTGGAAGTTGATTGACAGAGAAACGTTTTGATTGTGATGGTTGATGTTGACCTGTGTGGCTGGATTAAGGACCACCTAACCGATTGGGAAGGCACACCTCTGGATTTCTGTAAGGACATTTCCAGAGACAGTGAGGCCAGGAGGTCCTAAGAAGGGCTCAGTCTCTTGCTGGATTCAAAATCTAAATGTATGACTGGAAGGGGAAGGGAGGAGGGACTCGGCTGACTGGAAAGAATGTCCCTGGGGACATGCCCCTCCCTGGCCCCTTCACGTCATCGTTCCATTCTGCTTCCTGACAGCTGTGGTCTGAACTCCTCTGCCCTGCCTTGCACCCTCCCCTGACATAATGGATGGAAACCTCTGAAATGATGGCTAAACCCACTCTTCCCTCCCTTAAGTTGTGTATGTTGTAGTCTGTCACAGCAAGAAACGCAGTTATATTGATATGGCGTCTATATTAAATGGTCCGCTGATAGATACATCACACAACAAATAGTTCTGTGTACTAAATAGGATTTAACTTAATGATAAATTATTAATACCCTATTTTTGGTATTCAAACGGTTTCTCTAATTCTAAAAGAATACATAAATTTTAGTGGGAGATCATTTCAAAATATTCCACTTCTTAATGGCTTCTACAGAGATTTTTTTCTTCAATGTCCACAAGAGAGATATGTGGTTTTATTTCATATCAGATAGTAAATAAATAATGGAATAAGGAAATCTCTTAAAGATGGAAATTCTAGGTTGGCAGAAGAGAATACTTGCTATTCACAATTACATGCATTATCTTGCCCAGAACTGCTGTACCATCAAACACTGTAGCTTACCACTGAAATGCTAACATACCATGAGATCTGAATTGGAGTCTGTTCATCTTCAATAGGCTCTTCATCTGAAGAATCAAATTCACTTGCCTGTATTGAAATGGGCTTCAAAAGAAATGTTATATTAAATTACTGCAAGGAATATTTGCATGTGATTTTTTTTAACATAGCCAATCCTTGATTAAACACCTACTGAATTAATATTTGTGGATTTTTGGTCATTAACCTAAACTGTCAGCAATATCACTAAATGATTAGTGCTGACCATTTAATTAATCATGGCACTGTACGGTGGGCAGAATTAGACTTAGACCAAAAGAATATCTGACTCCTGGATTTGGTCCTTGGATAATCTCTGGCAAGGCACCCGAGTGCAGCTCTGAAGTGCAATCTGCCTGTTCCTTTTAAAGCTTCTCTTGGACCTTGTGTTGGCATGCTCTGGAGACCCTGTGATACCCTGTCCACCTTTAACATAGCTAAAAGACAGCAGTCTGCAAAATTACAGAATGGCGGAAGTGCTAAGCTTTGAAGAAACGGCAGGTTTCTAGGTAGACAGGGAAGTTAAAGCAGTCAGTGTGAAAATTCAAGAGCTGAACCAGTTATAATGAGGCACAAGTTCTAGAACAGTGGAATACATGGCCAGGCTGGCTCAAAAGAAAGCCCCAAAGAGAATGTGGGTGGAGGTTTGTGCATTCAGTCGGGATGACTCAGAAGAGACAAGACCAGCGGGAACTGCTCAGCCTCTTTCTACAAAATAATCCCATACAACCTAGCAAATGGGTGAACACATGCGAACCAGCTCCCCCTCATCTTTATGAGTCACTGGATTAGAAGAACCCAGATCGACCTTATATGCTGATCTAAGCAGCTGGAGCTCAATTCTGGATGCAGAACTTTCACATGGAAGAAAACATATCCTTTCCCACTCCCTAGGTGGAACCATCTTCCGTGTTATTGAGTGGCAAAAAAAAAGAATGTGTGTCTGAGTGATTCCCATATCATTCTGGAATGTGACTGATCCACCACTTTCCAGGCAGTGCTGGACAGCCCAGAATTCCCGTATGCCAGATGGAAAGCAGGCAGACCTCAAGAGAGGAGGAGAGAGAGGCTTCACTACTTGTATTCAGTTCCTCTCTACTCAGAGATCAGATAGCTTATTCCTCTTCTCTGGAGTCAGAAGGCAGGAGTGAAGGACAGCTGACAACGCCTGGACACAGGACTCACAAGAGTAACCAAACAACAGGCTGCTTGGCTTTCAAGCCCTTGTAGAAAGGTCTTGCCAGAGGAGCTCATGACAACTGACTTAGGCTATGGACTGGGGTTTTTTAGGACTGCTCTTCGGTATAAAAATAAACAGAACCCAAATGAACCCTTTAAGTAGGGTGTCAGCTGTGAGGTAGTCAGGTGTCAGGTGGGGCTTCAACTCCCTGCCCTCCCCCCTAAAAACCACAAGATTTTAAGCTTGTATGGCCCATTCACTCCACCCCTCCCAGCCAGGTGTGGATAAATCCTAACATGCTAGACGTCCCTGTTTTCCCATGCCCAGCGATTCTGACCTTCAGGGAACAGGATGCAGTCCCAAGGGGACCCCGAGGGAGGGTGGCGGTCGTGGTGTCACCCACAAACGGGGTTGTGACAGCCTTTGCATCAGAGGCATCAAGTCACTCATAAATTGGGTTGTGATGCCTTTGCATCTGAGGTTTCCAGCCTACTGGCTTGGCCCTCTCTGGCAGGGATGTCGTGAGCCCCCAGGGGCGGTCAGCTCCGCCACTCTCCACCTCCCAGACGCGCAGAACAGTTACTGTGCGAGTCGCACCGCTGCCCGCCCAGCCACGCAGCCGAGGCCGGTCAGCATCTGTCCCCGCGGCGCGGTTCCTTCGGGTCCCGCCGGCCCCACTCACCGGCTTCATGGCTGGCCGCGGCTCGCCGTAACCAGTGCGGCGGATCTCGCAGCCTCCTCGTCTCAGCCCGCGCCGAGTCTGTCCCCCGTTAACCCATTGGTCCATCCGCCTGGGAGGCGGCGCGGCACCGTCCAACAACCAATCATATCCTCTCTCTGTTTTTTCCTCCGAGCCCTGGCTTAACCTTTAACTGCTCATTGGTTCGGAGAAAGTCTTTGAAAGACGCGCGGGAGGCGGGCCCGGGAGAAAGTTGATTGGCTGGAGGGCTCCGCCCCCTCAGCCAGTTGGGGGCGTGGACGTAGCAAGGGGCGGGGCGTGGTTCTGTAGAGGCTGGTGGCAGCAGACTCAAAGGGTTATAGTTCAAGTTCAAAGGTAGACTCTTGTGGGACCAGAAAGAGCCTGTGTTGTAAATGAATTGTGAAAACCGTAAGTCAAAGACTCCTCCTTGTGCGAGAGTCTACCTTTCGTAGTAGTCAGGTTTTCAATTGAGTACTAGGGAAGACAATCAGCTTTGCCCTAGGTCTACTGACTTAAATGTATCCCCAAACGTCCGTAATAGTGTTTATCCAAATTATCTGAGCCCCTGGCTCAGCTAGGTTGATGTACAGCATTAATCAACATAGTGGTCCGCTACGATTTCCTATATTGATTGCTTATCTCCAAAATCACAGGTTAAGTTGGAACAACAAAGCGATAAACGCTACTTGACAGCTATTCTCTCTTAACGTAATATGATGTTGCAGTAGACAGCGAACTAGTTATCCCTGACCACAAATTTGCTATTGGTCATGGTACAATGTAGAAGAGCCTCCATGAGTGTGTATAGTTCAAAAAATCATCCAGGATTTAAGCACCTGCCCTCTGATATGTGCCTAGGATACTGGGCTCTTTAAGTATAGTGGCTTTATAAAACTTTAAATAAATTTTCAAACATTTCCCAGTGTACCAGAACGGCTTGTGTGGAACTGTGAAATAGGTAATGTTTGGCTATTAGGGCTTGCTCCCTCATTATCTCTGATCCCATTCTCTCAGAGGTCAGTCGGGTGACAACATCTGCCTCACTCTGAGCTTCCAGGGCACTGAGAGGTGAGCAGGACCAGGCAGTGGGTGGGATGCGGGGTATACAGGGTAGTAAGGTGCACACGGGGTGTGTTGTGGAGCAAGGAGTAAGGAGCCCAGACATGGAAACACTGGAAGGGGGGTGAGGAGCTGACCTAGGGATGTTGCTAAAGCAACAAAACCCCACGAAACCACATCTCACATCCAGCCTCACTTGCTTACCATAAACATGGGTTATGGTTTGAGTCTCAAATATCCCTCACAGGGTCATGTCTTGGATGCTTCGCCCTAGCTGGGGGCACCATTTGGGGGAAGTTCTAGAAACTTGTTGGGGGGGATGTTGTGTATAGAATTATCCATGTTCATTATGGAATGTGGTGAGTTCAAAGGCCTTATTTGAGAGAGTAGATCCCTAGGGGTGGGCACTGTGAGCATCTTGTCCTACCTACTTCTAGTGGCCTCCTGCATCCTCTTCACCATAGTGTGAATTGTTCAGCTCCTCTATGCCCACTCGTGCGATACAATGAAGCTTCTGGAACAGTGAGCCAGAAGAAGCCCTCCCTGAAGTTGCCTAGTCCGAGTATTTGTTCAGTGTGAAGACAAAGTAACTAGTACAGCATGTCTGGATAGGTTTTAGGACAGGAGTCATCATGAGCTTCTTTCTTTTAAAGATTTATTTTCAGTGTGTGTGTGTGTGTGTGTGTGTGTGTGTGTGTGTGTGTACCATGTACTTGTGTTGTGCCCAAGAAGGCCAGAAGTGTGCTTTGGATCCACTGGAGCTAGAGTTACAGGCAACTGTGAGTTGTCCCAAATGGAAACGGAACACAAGTCTGCAAGAGCAGCAGGTGCTCTTAACCTCTGAGCATCTGTCCAGTGCCATCAGCTTGTTTCTATGCCAGTCCCTTCCTGAGCAGAAGCTTTCTAATCCTTCAGCATGGGTAAGACACTAGGTGTTACTTTAGTAATCTGTTCCATGGCCCAAGTGAGCAGAAACAGCTAGCTCACTGTAGCCCGATGGCAGGTCAAAGCCCGGCAGCCTTAAACTCTGGCCATCAGGACCTTCCTGTCACGACAGACTGCATCCTCTGTTGTGAACTGAAACAAACTCTTTGTCCTTAACTTAAAGGTTTTGTCAGTGTTTTATTCCAGGAATAGGAAAGTAGTAAAAATGGTCTTTAGCTCAGTTTCTGATGGAGTTCTTGTTCCCTGAAACTTAATAAGCCAGGCATCTGTGGTCTGCATTTGTCTTGGGATTCTAACCTTCCACACTTCTACCAGAATGACTCTTTAAACTCTAGTTACACCATCCTAGGGATTTTCTAGCCCACAGCTGCAAACTCTTCCACATTCTTCCCACAAATCAACTCTGAACGCCAAAGAGCCACCTGGTCAGGTTTATGATAGCAACGGCCCCAGGTCTTGGTTTCAGTTTTCTGCCCGGGTATTTTTCTCATTGTTATGGTCAAATTCCTGACAAGAAGTGATGAAGGTTTATCCTAGGTTATGTTTCCTGGGATTCATCCCACCATGACAGGGAAGAAATGAAGCAGGGAAGGAGGGCATGGACCCAAGAGCAGGAGTCCAGCCAATCATATTTCATCGGCAGCCAGGACCACAGGACTGGGCAATAAAGCTTTGAGACCTGCCTCCAGTTACCCATTTCCTCTGGAGAGTCTCTGCCTCCTACTTGTTCCATAATCTTCCACAACAGTGCAACCTGTTTAGGGCCAAGTGTTCAAATACATGTGCATAAAGGGGGTGGGTGGGGGGACTAGCATTTCTTGTTCAAACTATAGCATACCACTTCAACTGAAAGGCACATCATGTTCAACCATCAGCCAGGACAGAATCCTGAATTTTCAGAAAGTTTGAAACTGAGTTGATATAATTTCCTACCGCTTTCTACTGACCATGTATTTGTAGCGATGAGGCAAGCAGAGCTGCTTTTCGTTCCGCCTGGCTCCCGCATGGCTAGCTTTACACCCGAAATGACAACACCCAAATTGTATTCATTTTAACACTGCCTGGCCCATTAGCTCTAGCCTCTTACTGGCTAACTCTCACACCTTGATTAACCCATTTCTGTTAATGTGTGTAGCACCACGAGGTGGTGACTTACCAGGAAGATTCTAACCTACGTCTATCTTGGGCCAGAGCTTCATCGCGTCTGCCTGCCTCTGCTTTCTTTCTCCCACAATTCTGTTCTGTCTTTCCCACCTACCTATGTTCTGACCTATCAGGCCAAGCAGTTTTCTTTATTAATTAACCAATGAAAGCAACACATAGAAAGAAGACCCACCTACATCTTGTATCTAGTGAGCAGTCCAGACAAGATCAGCTCTTTTGTTCCAGTAACTTCTGCATTTGATTATCAAACTGCCATCAACCTATGTGTACTGAAGCAAAGGATACTAGAGGGAGGCCATCGAACTGTGCAGCAAACTGCATCTCATAGTCACATAAGCTATAGAAGTCACACATAGTGTCCGGAGTCAGTTTGATTCCAGTCTACCAGGAGTGGTGGGGAAGGGACAATCACTGGGAGATGGGGCCTCTGGTAGAGGTCACTTACTAGAAAACAACGGGTCTTTACCTCAGAACTGTAGAGGCAGGCAGCAATTCAATTTCAGGTTGTCCTATCTGAAAGTAAAGCCTCTTTCATGGGCATCTACATATAGACCAACCCGTATCTATGATTATGTCATGGCTTATGTCTCCCTGGAGGGCTGTCCCCATCTGAACTGGCTTTCCCAAGTTAAAGTCTTATTCACTGAACCTCAGCCTGCTTACTCCAGAGATATCATTATAACTGGAGTCCAAACTCACCAGCAGAGCTGCCATCAGATTTTACCTTAAAGTCCGAAGAATTAGGACCAGTGGATTCAAGATTAAGCAGTTACAACCCAAAGGCTTTTCTAGGGCAGTTCCAGAGAACCACACAACATGTTCCAATCCCAAGAGACAAACATGGCTTTTCTAAGATCTCTTGATTAAAAAGTTGGTCCAGACTGACCCTCTTAAAAGTGTGGTCACCAGTTAGGAAGTCATGAGTTTCTCTGAGGGTTGGATGTATGATTTTAGCCCTAAAAGTAGGGCTAAAGAGATGGTCAGTAGTTAAGAGCAAGCACTGGCTGCTCTTGTAGAGGACCTGAGTTCAGTTCCCAGTACCCACACTAAGGCAGTTAACAACTGCCTAAAACTCCAGTTCTAGGGGATCGGACGCCCTCTATTTGGTTTCTTGGGGGCACCCACATATGGTTATGGCATACACTCATACAGACATATATACATACATAAAACTCTTTTTTGAAAAAGGTTTTAAGATTCTAAGTGTGTCTCTGGCAACTGTTCATCTTTCTATGTTCTCTTCTTTCCCCTGCATCTCCTGTGGGTAAAAAATCACAGTAGACCTCATCAGCTCTGGAGGCTGGTTTTGTTTTCCACACTCAAGAGTTTACATTTCAGTTCACCAATTGATGCAAAAGACCACTGTGCTTTGCCGGCACTTCCTCCTTTGCAGCATTCTTTGATTCAGGTGAAGTTACAGACATGCAATAGCTTGCATCATTGTTACCATATACCTCGATAACACAAAGCTATTCTTTTTCTTTATCGTTTAAGAAAATAGTTTGCCATGTTTAGCCATGAATCCAGCCTCTAATTGTGAAGACTAACATTTTCAAGCCAGATTTAGTCCAGAGTTTGAGGGGTGACCTGACAGTTACTGTGGCAGGGCACAGTTGGTTTGAAGAAAACAATGGCGAAACGTTTCTCTGCAGTTTTGGTGTTACACTGCCAACAGATGTAACTTGGGGGCTGTAGGCAGAGACTGCTCATTCATTTCCCGGCTGCCCAGACCTGGATAACCACACAGAAACTATATTAATTTCAACACTGCTTGGCCAATGACTTAGGTGTATTTCTAGCTAGCTCTTACATCTTGAATTAACCCATTTCTATTAATCTATGTATAGCCACAAGGCTGTGGTTTACTGGGCAAGGTTCCTAAGGTTCCAGCGTGTCCTTCTCCTACATCAGCTACATAGTATCTCCCTGATTCTGCCTACT